TTCAGCCAAGCTTGAAGGCAGCGATTTTGGAATAGGGGCTTCTTTCTTGATCAGTGCCTAATCAGGCTAAGGCAATGTAATACTGGACCCACTGTGAACAGTGACGCTGGTGTTTCAGCAGTTTCCAGGCTTGAGCTTTTGTGGTTCCTGGGTTGTTCCTGAATGCCTTATCAGATCTTGGCAAAGCGGTGACACATACAAATAACTTGTACTTATGTACAGTTGTTTGAACTGATGATCTCAGAATTTGCAGATGTTTAAAAATGGCTCAAACGTTCTTCTTTTTAGAGCTTCATTGTTCCTTGGACTTTACCATTGTTCTGAGTATCGGTCAATCAAACAAAGAAAAAGAGAAACTACCAGTTGTAGTCAATTATGATTACCGATGAGAAGTTAATATGTCTTTGCTTTATCAAGTCAAAGGACATTTTAGATCCTGAATATGTACTTTTGATTCTGTGTATATTAGAGAAAATCCAAAATAGCTTAAAACTTGTGCGCCTAATTCTTGCTTCTTGTTCTTGTTTTTTTAAAGTCATTAAAGATGCATGCTGTACAATCACTCCATCCTGGAAAAAGAACCGATCAAAGAAATCATTAAGAGTCCAAAATCACCATGACAGTCACACCCATGGTGTGAAAGTCACAACTGTGGAGAAGAACAGGATTTTTGCACTACACGTATAACTTTATTGCGGGGGATTGCACCCAGTGTGAGTAACAATCTTTGTTGGTGTCTGCGCTAAAGTAACCTGAGGGGTCCACTTTGGAAAAACTATCCTAAAACATTAACTGTACGACTTTGATAGATTTAACAGATAATCCTGGGTGCTTGTTAATAAATGTTAATTATTATTATTATTCTAAGGGGTTTTTGGACATACGCGTTCAAGACCAGTTTTGGTCCTCTGCTCCATACGGGATTTAAAAGTAATTTAAAAAAGAGTTTAAAATAAAATAATTTATCTAAAAAAACATTTTATTTAAAACAAGTTGGCTTTCAGTTTATGACTGCAGAATTTGTTCAAGCAAAAGTCAAATCCAAGACACAGAAAATATTTCTTACCAGTTATTGTGGGCAATTGTGTTTATTCAAGCCAAAAAATAAAACGTTTGCTCTCAGCAGCATTAAACTGTTACCCTCATTGGAGTACCATGTCATGAGGAGAACCACCAAAGCTTAATGTTATATTTCACAGTTTTCTATATTTTACATTTCCTACGATTTATAAATTATTCTATTCGATAAAAGTTTCATCCCATTTTATTGAGTATAGCTTCTTGTGTATATTGTATAACATATATTATACTAATTCATATACACATAAAATAAAATATTATTATACAAGTTGTATCTACTTATTAGGCCAATAGAAGGGGGGATAGATGGGCTCAGTAGGATCACTGAGATATCAGCTGCGACAACCGGAAGTGTTTTACATTCATTATGAATCGAGCAAGTAGGGCCTATAGGCATAATTTTTAGGTCTGAGGAATAAAGAGGGTCTGAGGAAGGTGAGGTTTGGCTTCAGGTCCAACATTGTATTTGGGGAAAGGAGAAAATGTGCTTTTCTTAGGTCCTGGTTAAAATTCTGATAGAAAGGAAATCCTATTCTTAGATGGAAAAAGTAAACACTGAATACTTTTAAAACCACAAATGTTCATCTATTACTGTGCATTACATGCACGGGTACACTGTTACAGTGTTTGATGTCAATTGTGTGTAGTTAATCTGGTACTATCTTTGTGTTAAAGATCTTGTATAGTGAAATATTTTTGTACACTAATGTGTCTGCAGCTTTGCTGAATATAAAGACTTAAAAAGTGCAGGGCTGAGATGCAGCATATGAAGTTAAACCAAACTTAACTTCAGAGATGCTGGATGAACTATTACTTTAGGAAATATAATTAAGCAAGCTGTTCCCAGTCTTTATGGTGAGCAAATCTAACAAACTGCTGCTTAAAATAATTACATAATTACAAATGCAAAGGCTTAATGGTTGTACAATTCTCAATACGTATTTGTGTGCACACCTACTATAAAATTTATATACTGACTAGAAAAATCACGTGAACGTCCCCTGAGGTCGGAACAACAACACAGAAAGTCTGAAAAGACATCTTGTGCATCTCTGCAACCCCAGGCACATCTCACAGAAAGGCATAATTTGACACCCTGGGGTGAGGAAGTGTTGTAAAAGCACATGAACACACAGAACTCTGAAAAATGACTTCCAAACTCCAAAAATTGGACCACCTGAGGAGCACTTGAATGCACAAATAAGAGGTGCTATGTTTTATTGTGCTGTAACTTTGGACCATTGTCAGTGTGGGTAACCAGCCCAGTGTTGTTAAACACAACCATTTTATGACATTGTATTATGTAAATGCCAGGCACTCTTTTAATAATTTGGTATTTCTTTAAGTGCAACTAGTACATCAAATGCTCATGATTTATCACATCTGACAACACCATAAATATGTGGAAAGCAGCAAATAAATATTCACAAATCCAATGGCTCATCATCAAACCAATAAGTTAAAACATGATGTACCAATTAATGGCAATGCAAAATGCTTGTCCTGGACTCTCTGGATCGCAGTACTTTAAAAAATTATATATAGATATACATAACATATATATTTCAGTCAGTGAAATGCTAAGTGAGCAAGCACGCACAACTCCAGAGTGGTCCTTCAAAAGTTTCCAGCATAGACTGCTCCTGCTGCTTGCTGCACAGAACTACTTCACATATGTTAGCGATTTCCCAAATCCAGTGTTTCCACAGCTGTCTCTATTGAGGTTTCTCATGTCATGAGCCCATTGCTCAAAAGTTGTCTTCCATAATGATGAAAAACACCCATCACTTGACAACTGGTCATTAGTGGTTCCTGGAGGCTGTTGGGTGTAATTGAAAGCAAAGATTTTTTTTTCTCTAATACGTCTCTAATTCACTTCTCTTGCTGACCATTGTACAGCTGTACAATATGAATTTCCCCAGTGTGGGATAAATACAGTCTATTTCTATGTCTAAACAAGGAGCTTCAGCACTGCAGCCCACATTTTTTAAAAGGCACAACTTATACTTTGCAGACACACAGTCGCCACTTTTTTTCACAGTTTTTACTTGAGATAAAAGCCCTACTCGGATCGACTTGCCATGGTTCACCACGGTTTTCAGGGTCTTCTCTTAGTTCATAGTATCTGGACCAGGTACTAACATAGTACCTGCTTGGCCAGGGTTCATAGTGAACCGAGCTTTTGCTAAAATGTGACGTGGTCAGACTGCATGCCGCCAATTGGCTAGTCAGGGGCATCGCTCAATGAGTCATGATAGCATCCCATTCACGAAAATCAAAAACACTTATTTTGAAACCTGGTAACGAGGGGAAATGGCTACAAAAAACAATGCCATGGTCCCCAAGTCTGATGAAAAGCCACAGACTGAACAGCAGGTATATTCTTGCCTCGATGTCCACCTTTGTTGTAGCATTCATTTCATACATTAACCGTGTATTTATCAACGCTCCGCCCCGTTTCTATAACAATGACCATGCACATTAGGTGGTACTCAGTTGTAATGGAAAACCAGTCGATCCGAGTCAAGACGTGGGCGAGTCGTGGTGAGTCAATCCGAGTAGGTATTAATGGAAAAAGGGGTTAACTAGACAACGTCTGTAGACAAATCACTTTCATTCAAATGATGACCATAGCAGCATGCTAGCAGCGAAAGCAATCACAAGGTTGGGGAATACACATTTTTCCCTAGAAACTGGGGGTTGCTAGGTGGTTACTGACCTATCTATAGGCCTGTTTAACCTCCAGCAAACACTTTTAACTCCTTGGGAAATAAACTTTTTTCCTTCTAACTGGTAATTGCCAGGTAGTTATTGACTGGCCTCTAGGCCAGTTTTTCTTGAATTTTGTGTTTTGGTGGATTTAGTAATTTCCTTTTGATCAATTTGCTACTGTGTTACTGTCACCGCTGCAACTTGACACCTTTCCTGAAACCTGGTTTGGTGGCTTTATTAGGTGGGGTCAGTGTTAGCCTAGCTCCTTGTTTTGTTTTCAGCCTGCTTGCTAAGTGCTTGCTACCTTCAACAGCTGTTAAGCACTATTATGACAGTGTCTTGACACTGCCTGCCAGCATACACACAGTTAAAAGATGACCTCCGCCAGGTAAAGCAGGAACTGGAGAAAAAGGATGAGCTAACCATGGAGTTCTCATCTGTCATCACTACACAAGCTAAGCACTTAGCTTCTCTACACTCCTCCTGCTGCAGAACCAACTGCTTTTCCACGCATTTCCTCACTGTGACACCATACTCCCCTTCTGTCCAGTTCTGTTTCTACTGGAGGTAACCCTGTCATATACTGTCAGGTCAGTTGAATCTGTGGTTTGTCTTATATGACAGTTAAAACCTAATTTTTTATAGTATAACATTTCCTTAGTCTTTTCCCATTATTTTTGGTTCTTGTTCTTCTAATGTGTGTATGCAGGAGTGAATGTACTGTAAGATATTTGCCTGTGTTTGGACTTGTACATTACATCCTGTTTCATCCAAACTAGGAATTTTGTAACTGCATTTTTTAAATAAAATAATCATTGTTGTTATTATTATTAACATTGCTGTTAGTATCATTATTAGCATTACTATTAGCATTATTATTAGCATTATTACTGCAATGTCACCATGCTCACACACTCAAAATGGCAGACAAATTAACATCTGAGGTTTGTCGTCATGTGTCTGCAAATGCTAAATATGATTCCACAACATTTTTGCTCAGTCATTAACTCAGGGCCAGCTCTGTCCCCAGGTTTTCCTCTTTCCTCTGTGGCACCGTGACATCCCTACAAATCAACCACCATCGGAGACGGTCCAAGAAAGAGCACGCTGTGTTTCAAATGAGAAATGTGTGCTGTACCATCCTTAAACTGCAGCCACAACTGCTTCTGAAATCAGTATAATGCATCCTGATACATTTCCTCCTCACTCACCTGTGCTCATTCTGGTAACCTGTTCTTAGAGAGGGGTTGTTGAATTAATGTCATCAGCATGTTCAGCTCCAAGGACTGATTCATTTTTCCCCTTCCTTTTCCTTTGTGAAACATTTTCTTCATTAATGATCTCTGAAATCATACAGAAGAGATGTTGCCACTAGAAGCAGGCAGCCCGAGCCCCCCATGAGTCCGAATTGTGATCTGAGTGATGCTTCTCTTAGCTGGTGTGAGATGACTTTGATTGTGGCACTTCCACAGCCACCTCCGCAGCTCTGTTTGGACCTGCAAACAAATAGAAATTGCAGAAAGTTACAGATGCCTAGGCTTTTTGTTCACCTGTTGAGCAAAATGGTTAATGTCTCTGCAATGCTGCCATTTACCCATACCAAAAAAATGTGTTTGAGGTTTTCACTCCAAAGAATAGCTCTTACCTCAGGGCAGCTATTTATGATAAATGTTTGTATGACTTTTTTTTATTACACAAGCTTCCCCTCCATTTGCCTACCTCTCCATTCATGAAACAGTAAAGAAGCGCCACCACAAACCCCTGCAACATAAAAGACATCTGTTTCAAGATAAAATCATAAGAGTAAGAACTGATTGCATGTACAGTCCGCTTAAGGGAAAACAGTGACTTGTGTTGCTAACACTTAATTGCACAAAGCATCACAATAACTTCAGAGAACAAACAAGCAAAACAGGATGAAGCTGCAGGCTTTGAAGAAGTCATTCGGTTGCTGATTTATTGTTGTTTGTTAATTCATTTTGTCATGTTTATGGGATACATTTTGTGCTGCATAAATGTCAACATTCCACATAGTTATAGTCTTACACATGCACAAATATTATGGAGTGGTTATTTATGACCGTGATTATTTCAGCCAGCAAGGGCTGCCGCTCTTAGGGGTCGCCATAACAGATCATCTGCTTCCATTTCTCCTAGTATCTAGTATTCCTAGTATCCTCTTCTGCCACATATTCATATGAATGTACTCTTCCTACATATGCCCAAACCATCTCAACCTTGTGTCTCTATCGCTCAAGCCCTCCTTCTGATATTCTCATTTCTAATCGTGTCCATCCTGGTCACTCCCAATGAAAATCTTAACATCCTCAACATTGCCACTTTCAGGATCAGCTCCTGTGTTTTTGTCAGTGCCACCATATCCCAACCAAACATCACAGCAGGTCTCATTAACATTTTGTAAACCCTCCCTTTTACTTTGGCTGCTATCCTTCTGTCACAATCATCCCAACACTCATCTCCACCAACTCCACCCTGACTGCACTCTCCTCTTCACTTCTGCTGTGCACCCTGTATTGTGTCTTGTATCTACTGACTTTCATTCCTTTTTTAACTTGTCCATCACCACTGCATACAAGAAGGTCCTCAGAGCTGATCCCTGATGTAGTCCTACTCCCACCTTGAACTCATCTGTGTCTCTGTCTCCTACTGCACCTCAGTGATATACTCATACAATACCACAGTTCCTCCAAGCACACAATCAATGACTTCTCTAGATCCATGAACACACAGTGAAGCTCCTTCTGGCCTTCTCTATATTTCTCTATATTTCTCTATCAACTCTCTCAAATATCTTATCTGTAGTGTTGTCTGTGAAGGTTCTCAGTCATCCAGATCATTGCAGTCTAAGGAGCTTGGTGAGAAAAGTGTCTGGACTATACAGCTGTCATCCGAGAAACTTCCGAGAGTGCCAGACCCTCTTGGGGACATTCCCGTAGGGCTTAAAATCTGGGACTCTCCACCAGTTGCTCTTTGAACTGAAGAAGCTTCTTAGATGAGAGGTGAAACGTCTTCAGTCCAGATGCTTTTCTTTCCAAGTTCTGTAGTGTTACTTCTTGGCATGAACCCATACTGCTGCTAACTGATATCACCTCTCTCCTTAACCTAGCTCCATGAACTACAACTGAATGTCTACATGGGATCACTCATCAGCTTTATCCCTCTGTTACCTCCTGTTTTAACTTTGCGCATAATCTTGATAAATTGGAAGATACAATAGGATATCAGTGTGCGCAGGTTTCTCTAAAATATAATAATCGAGTTGAGAATTCAGTGAATTTTAGAGGGACAGGTGCTGGAACAGACTGAGGGATGGATGGCAGACACCTCACCATCACATAAGTTCATCTGGCCTTCAGCCGACGAGCTTTAGTTATTATTGTGCATGCACAGGTATAAATATCAATTCCATGATGATTCAGATTTGTAACACCTGTGCTTCTAATGTGACAAGGAAAATAAATCTGCTGGGAAGAATTTCAACTTGAGAAATGTGAGTTATTTATTTTTAGCAATTCTTTGTGAACTGTGATTCTGAAGTTTTATACCTGAAAGGAGCCCAGTCCCAGCTCGATGTAGAGTCTGGCTGCTACTCCAGTGTTCTCAGGCAAGAAGGCAAATACAGTGTAGTGCATCCCAAACAGAGGAATCAGGAACAGGGTGGATTTTGCCAGCCTCCTGAGTGAAGCAAAAAGAAAGGACTGAAAAATAAAAAATAAGTCCAGATAATGATGCAACACTTTGAAAGATTACAGTGTGTTACCAGTATGGTCAGCTACTTTCAGTCATGTCAGAGGTACAAGTTTCAAATGCCAGACAGACTAAATGCGTCATTCAGGTTTCATCAAAGCTACAATGGTGGTGTCAGATTTTCATTACACTGACCTTTAAAACAACATCGTCATCAGGCCAATCAGTGGAAAAGATTAAAATGTCAAAACACAAAACCTGAACACATTGTGCTTAGTTCAGCTCATATCACTGATGTCTAAATATCATGTAAATGTTGCCATTTAATTTCTTATGACATTTTGTTGAAACGGTTTCCCGCAAGTAATGCGGTTTGAAAAGAGCAACTCAACATCTGCTTCATCATCAAAAGACACTGAGATAAGTATCATGTTTATGCTCTTCATCATTTACTTTTCTGTATATCCTATTGAGATTGGAAAACCTAGCTGGGTACAGATCCACTCACAAGAGTATCCAGTTCATCAGAGATCAACAGACAGCTGTTATCCTAACAACTGACATGTGTGTGTTTTTTATTCTCACTTTAGTTTCCTCAGTGACACTCTCACATGTATGAGGATGTTGCAGTATGTGTTTTAGTCATCTAGATAGTCAGATTAAACCATAAAATAGCTCTAATCAGAAATATTATCACAGCTTCAACTGCTTAAAGATTAAAGATGGAGGGGAGCTATCAGCTTATTTCAGGTGAATAATTTGTGCCTTTGTGTGAATGCCAAGGTTCCTCCTGAATCAAATTTAAGTTCCTACGACAGGCGGGCTTTTAATCCTGTGAAACATTCATTGAACTGGTGGAACAATCCTGTCGCACGTCAAAGTAGGTAACATCTATTTCTGGAATCTGGAGCTATTTTTATATGCTCTCATTCTAAATTAATTCAGCTGAGCACAAATGTGCACCAGCCAGATGTCAAGAGAAAGAAGGATTCTTTCAGGTGAAGCAGGGTTTCACTGCTGCTGCAGTAGATTCATGTATGCATATATTATATTAAAGTGTAAGAAGCCGTTCAAACTTTTGTCAAGGGATTTAAACAGCTCCCCCTCACCTTTTCTTCTTACATACTACTGCCTCAGTTAGCAGTTTCCACTTAACACCCAGCAAAAGGTTTACATGTTAAAATAAATTACTATTTATCCAACTGAATTATAAAGAGTTTAGTGCAAGAAAATGATTTAAAGCTCAGCTTTATTAATGCTGAACCACTTTTCTCTGCATATGATGTTTTTAACTCACACCTGAGCTATAGGTTCCCATAAGTAAAGCCCAAAATTATCTCATGTATCCACTTGTTGGTGTTAGACACTTGTAACGTTGATCTTCATTATGGTACCATGATGGTACAGTTCTGCTAATAGCAAGTGAGCAAGTCATGGAGTTCTTGGGATGTATCATTGCAAATCGGGGCGGAAAAAAATATGATATTGTGAGAAATTTTTATTTCTGGGATTTCACATTGCCGATGGATCTATTTTTACCAAAACCATATTTTTTTTCCTTAAAACTTACCAAGGGCGTAGATCATCTTGCATGGCCACTATGGTGAGGTGAGGCTGCTACCTCACCTGACTTATAAAAGTTATTATGTCATAAGCCAGTCTTGTTTTTATCATTTATTTTTCTGCAAAATTCTGACCGTACCATCTGTCGCAACAAAAATTCAGAATCAGACCGGGCAAGTCTGCTTCTTCTTCAAGTTATTTTCAGCCAGAGAACTGATGCTCACTGGAACTTTTCTTTTTATCTGACCACACTCTGTAAACCCTAGAGTTAGTTGTGTGGGAAAATCCCAGCAAATCAGCAGTTTAGGTAACAGTCAGATCAACCTGTCTGATACCAACAACCATGCCACATTCAAAGTCACCTAAATCCCCTTTCTTCCTCATTCTGCTTGATTTGAAATTCAGCAGGTCGTCTTGGCCAAATCTAGATCCCTACATGTATTGAGTTTCTGAGCGATTGGATAAATTGGATAAAACCAGATTTCAACCCTTCCAATAGTTGAGACATTTCAGTAAGTTATACGACTTTCATCCACATGAGAGAACAAGATTAAACGTTGATGAAAAGTGAAAAAGGATTAGTCTTCTGGGCACAATATATGTCTGTAAAAATGTAATACACAAAATTTACAGTTGTTTCTAAATATTTGTGTGAATTTGGTTTGATTTATTCAAACCTATACTTGTGATGTGCTGGCTCACATCCAGGCTTCAAAGAAAGACGGTGAAAGTTGCAAACTCACAGAGCATATCCAATCCAAAAAAAAAAAAAAACTTGAAAGAGATTGCATCAGAGAGGGGAAGTGTGGCTTTGATCTTATTTTTCAGTCATACAAGACATTTCTTATAAGTACAAATGTAATCTGTAAGAAATCAAATTTTATTCTTGTACAGTGTTTAAATTTTAAACTTACAGATTATTAAAATGATGGTTTATCAAAATAGCACTAAGATTAAGTTCAGCACCCTATGTAAGATGTATGGATATCGAAACTAATTTATCTGATAGGTTATTTGTTCTTCATCATTTCCTGACATCACACATGCACACACTGGGGTAAGTTCAGAGCTCTTTAGAGTGCTGTATTAGCTGATTGGTGCAAGCTACTTCTTTTCTTCCTCACAATCAGAAATCTGTTCATCAGCTGTAAGGTTTCCTGCTGAGACGTATTATCAAATCTCATTTTCACTAGATAAAACAGCCTTCCTGAGCAGTCCATCCTCACAGACTCCTCTTACCTTACTGCTGCCCTAAAGGTTTTTGGTTTTCATATTAATTTACTACTTTACAGCTTCTATTAAAGAGCAGCACGCTTTTTATCAAATCAAAGCTATTATATGTCACATCAATAACTTGTGACTAGAGTGATCATATGTCCCACTTTGCGAGGGGCATATGTTCAGCATTTTGATTGGTTCCTTACATCTCATAAATCAACACTGAGTTACACTTTTCAAAGCCTGGCTCTTATCCAATAAGAGAAAGAAGAAGAGGCCGTCTCATTGGGGGCAATCAATCGTAATCATATAATTGGTTCTTATATAGCACTTTTCTACTCTGCCTGAGCACTCGAAGTTCTTTATACAACTTGCTTCATTCACCCATTTACTTTTTTCTGTGTTTAAGTGTTTTTTATCTAACATTCGCACACATCCACACTCCGATGGGCCCACTGCAGAGGAACTTGGGGTTAATATCTTGCCCAAGGATATTTAGCATGCAGACTGGAGCAGCCAGGGATCAAACCACCAACCTTCTGATTAGTAGGTGACAAACTCTATCTAGTTACCTAGCTACAGTCAGGAGGTATAGCATTTAAACTCTGAACCAAAGAAAATGAATGGAAAGATAAAAATGGCTGAAATAACTAGCATTTACTACACTGTGCAGCAAACCCAATCACAAAGTTCATTAGACTGTTGCAGTAAACTAGCACCAGTCATTTTTTCAGAGTCAGATGAAAATTTCCTGCTTTTCAACCAGGTGCTTTCAGGGTGCTAGGGTGCATGTCCTGTGTGGGCTTGTAAGCTGTTGTTGCCATGATGAACAAACAGAACAGGTGTTTTTGAGTGTATCTTTTTCTCTGGAAAAGTTTTCATTTGTATTAATGTGATTTGAACTATTTTGTTTAATGTTTTGTCTTGTGAATTTTATGCACCTTATTGAGATTAGGAGGGTGGCTTGCAGGACGCAAATGCATACTGACTTTTCAGAATATTGCTGTCCTTCAGTTAACAGGCAGTAGTCGAGAAACTTGTTGATGCAGTTTTTTCTCTGTTTTTTGTATCACAAGAACGACGGACTGTTCTTCTATTAATTTTGACCAAAAGAGGGAATACACAAGTGCAGACAGCCACATGTAAACAGTTCAGCTAAATCTGGATCTGTTGCATGATATTTTTAAAAACCAGCTATAACAAAATTTTGCACTAGCACAACATTGTACACTGTGCCCCACATTGTCCCACGGTAATAATCTCTCCTCGTGACTCACATAAAGTGTCCAGTGTCATTGTTCCCTGTCATGGCAGAAGATTTAAGCTTTTCAACCAGAATCCGGATGACGTTGACGAAGATGACTATGTTGATCTGGAAGAGAAACATGCACAGTGGCCTAAATGGCAAAATCAGATACACACTAGTTAAAATACATTCAGTGTTATCACAGGGGAATGAAAAATTTAAAAATCCTGTATCATCACAGGATAAAGGTGATTACTATTGAACTCGAGACAAAGTGAACCACAATGTGTCACTGCAAACGAGAACATTCACTCCGCTGATGGGCCAAATGTGTCTGAGGCAAGAAAAGTAAATACAGGAAAAAGATACTATGTTCTGGACTAGTTGATTACGTGGAAAATCAATGTGTTTATCATATTTATCACAGTAATATTTCAGGAAAAAAATGTACTCTGAATGTATACAGAACTCTGTTGCATCTCATAATGCAAAACGTAAAGAATTCAGGGAGGCTTTTAGCTCAATCTTGCAGCGTACACCAGGAAATTGGGTCGGCTCGAAGTTGGATCAGATCCTCACTATAAACTAACCACTCTGGAGTTTGTCTGGAAGTGGACCGAGTCCAGAAAAAGTACAGGTGAGTAAACAACCTCGGTTAACTGAAATATTACCATGGCTGCCAGAGATGTTCATTTCTACCAACTCACTGAAGTAAAGTTATCTTAATTAACTAGTTAAACTTGTGCCAGGAACAAATGTGATTTGCAAGAAAACTTCTGTCTCTCAGTATGTTGGCAAATATTTATTAACCTTTAGCTTTGACAAAAGAAAATCTGACATCAAAGGATTTAAAAGACAAAACCACCAATACATGTTTCTTAACAAGCTCCTAAAATTTTAAAACATCGCTGGTATATTATATAATATTTCATGATCACTGCCCCAAGGGCCACAAACTTGCACTTCCTCTGCCTGAAGAATCCCACTTTAGTGTAAAATTTCATTGTAAAACTTTAATTGTAAATCTGCCACCACAAAACAAAAAACCAGACAGGCAAGTTTATCAGGTACTTGGTGTTTAACTCCTATACTCACCAGCAGTGAGGCTGTTATTGGTCCCTTAATAATCCACCAGATGCCAACATTGTCTGTATCATCCCAGCAACTGTAAAGCCAAATGTAATGTCAGTGCAATACTAAACCTACAAAAATAGATATAATAGTTCACATGGACTGGCAAGCTGCTTTAAATAAAATGCAGAAATATGAAAGTAACAACAGTAAAAACATACCCTCTGTCATCATAGAAGAATCTGGTCAAAACCCACAGTATGAGAACTGTAGATGGGAGCCCTAAAACGTAAGGGCAGGAATTAATTATGCATGCTCTGTTTACCTGTCAAGTAAAATCAATCCGAACATTGCTCCAGACCAAACGCATCTGTTTGCTGCATATTTCTTTGTTGACAAGCATAGAAAATATTAAGTTGACTCTGTGTAAAAAAATTTCCATGCTACCTGCATCTGTTTCATGCCCAAAAAAAAAGGAGTACACAGAGAATAAAAGCAGGAGACACGAGAGAGCAGGATAGTAAAGCCAGAAAGAAGCTGATAAGACGCATCAGAGCCACCGTGGTTACAGTCTGAGCACCACTCGTGTGCACACACGTAAACACACCTCAGGTGCTTTGTGTAAAAACATTCAGGACAAAAATATTTACATATCTTAACATATTCATCTGTGTAGTTTCATATTTTTTTAAGCATTATTATGGCTGTTATTGTTGTAACTTTGTATAGGGAATATCACAAGCAATCTATCACCAACCCAACATCTGTTGTCCAGGTATAAAATATGATAATTTGGGGGAACAGCCGAATTTATTAAGTAATCATCCTTTTATCAACAGCTGAAACTGCTGTGCATTAATTCTTGGGTGAAAATAAGGCGAATAAGGAAATCCTGGGTTTTCAGTAATAGCGGTTCTGTTTTTTCTTTTTCTTACCAGGTTATATCGCCATGGTAACTTGTGGGTCATGTTCAACATTAGACAGGTGAAATCACTGCCTATAGATTAATCGACTATGCAGAAGACTGTGTAAACATTCCCAGAACATGATAGTAAAATGATCTAAAGTCTTTGTGTTTGCTAAATCAACTGGCACGTTCAGGTATGGATACAGATCAGTGTCAGAATTATTTGAACTACCTTACGAGTCAAAATATGAGCAATAGTGCTCATTACTTTCTTTTTTCTGGGGGGAGTTTAACACTTGCTGTGACAAGTCGTCAGGGTTTCTTACAACAAAACTGGGATTTCATTTGACAAAATGCAATCTTGGAACCACTGATGATCATCTGACAACGATTTAGCTCTTGAGATCTTTGGAATCATTTACATTCGTAACTAATGTTTGGTGCACACAAGCTAAATGATTGAGCTAATAGGCTAGCCACTGGGTTCTCTGATGAGCTCCGCTCATCTTTATGGGGAAATTATGGTTCACCAATGGCAGTGTGGGCAGCCTGTGATCAGATTAGGTTGCTGTGGGTCCATCAGGTGCAGAGAATAGTAAACTTCTAGCACACGAAGATGATTTGGGGAAATTTGTGGAATTTTTTTGAACTTCTACCTTTTTGCTACCTTCCCTGTCCCCGCCTACTCATAAACCGATCAGCAACGAACACACTCATCCATGTCAAGCACCATGCAGCATGGATTTTGGACGACTGTTGGGAGCATATTTACATAGTTTGAAAACCCCTCTCCGTGGACAAATCCCTCCATAAATCGAAACAATCGGGGTAGCATAAACTAAGCATGACACAGGCTCTGCTTCTATGCCACAACACGGAACAAATTTTGCTTCCTCCTTCACACACTGCTTCAAATCACACCATGAATGTTTCAGAAGAAGTCTGCACAGTTCTCACCACATTTTTCTTCAAGTCAATCTGATCTATAAAGAGGACAGAGTCATTTTTCCAAACACAGACGAACTTGTGTAATACTTCTGACTGAAACAAGCTCTGTCTTGAGCTGGCCTTAAAGCCATGTATTCTCATTGTTATGGGTACTTTTCCCTATGTAACCCTCTGAACACAGGCAGGATTCACAACAGAGTCCAGTATCAGCACTGGACTCTGATACTGCCTCATCTTAAACCTGAATCAGTGGTGAAAGATGCACGATTAGCTATTTGTCCATGTTTTTTCTCAACGTGGAGGAAAAAAAACAAAAACTAAGCTTCAGAAAAGGCAGTAAAAAGAGCAGGAGACCTTGGGCCTGATGTCTCACCCCATTTCTCTCTGACAGAGGAGGGGACAGCAACGCTTTCATGTCATGTGTAGAGTGAGCGATGAGGTGATTCAAGTTGAGTCATACAGTTCAGAAGGACAAAACAAAAACACTGTGATGTGACGTGGTGCTGTATGTGTGCATGTTTGCACTTCAGTCTTGCGTCGCTGGTTACCGTTGGAAATAAATCCTTGTAAACAAAACTTCTCAACAAATTCATCACTGCGGTACACACATCCACATACATTTAATAAATGTATTCCTTAATGATAAACGGGTGATATTAATAAGGCTTACACAGTCTGCATTTTTGCCAGCTGGCTCAAGACAGCTTAAAGTGCACACAGCATGTTTGATACTGCACTACTGTACAGTGCTCCTCCACTCACACGGCTCAGGAGCTGAACTGGTTGCACTCCATTGCTTTCAGACTGTATTATGTGCCTAAACAGTTTTTTCTAATATCATAGTTTGATTTTCCTTGTTAAGAATCAGTCACTCTGCTCTCTGTAAACCTTTCACATTACTGACTGGTCAGATGCCTCCATTTCCGCCTCTTCCAGGGAACCACCCTTGCAGCTAGATTGGGAAGCTGTGGACTAACTTATTGAAATTATAACCACCTTTGTGTGACTGATTAGGCTGATTGCTGATGTCAGAGAAGAGAGAGGGGAAAGATATCCTGAGTATGTTGTACCTGCTTTGAAGCACAGCCCCAAGAAGCATTCACAATTGTAATTATGACTAATCTCACAATTAAGAGATCTTCTCCAAAAGGTTAAGGAGGTTGTTAATCAGAGATAAACTACCTGGTGTAACTTATGCTATTTTATTAATAATAACTTTTAATATTGTCTCATGCCCATGAATTCAGTGCTATTCCATTTTTAAAATTAGCAGTTCAGGCTTATAAAGCAGTGCTGCTGTGAATTGGAGCTGGAAAAATTATCACGGTTCAAGTGCAAGTTCCCAGACAAGGTGTAGAATCAACTGATCTCCGGCAGGGATTGACAGCGGTGGAGGATTTCACTTTCCTCTCTTAACTTCGTGTCAAAGCAGCTGAGCAGCAGTTGCCAGCTACAGCATCCTGCTCAGCGTGACTCACTGTTTGCATGTGGAGCACCTTTAACAACAACCTACAACTGAGACAGCTCACAAGACCTGACGTGAAATCATAATAATGTCTGCCTGAATGCTGATGACCTACCTCTTCTTTTATTAAACTGTAGCGGCGTGCTTGTAGCCCTCAGGGTCAGATCCATTTATATCTTACCATAAATTCCATTCATCGCCTTATCAGAAATATCCCTGCCACCGTGTGTGAATGCAGCATTGCACTGGCATTCAGCGGAGGATTTAAAAAGCCCACGTGGCATGAAAGGTTTTGTTTTGCCAGCTGGACATTGCCTAAAAGTTTCAGGTAAGTGTGTTGCTGTTTCTCACCTTCACTGCTGCACTTAACAAAAGTTTCTGCTTAGCTCTGTGTGGCTGGACTAAGCTGCTATATTTTGGTAACAGGAACCATATGAGACTGACAGGAGCGGTGGAGTATGAGATTACAGGCTTGAATAGGAAAATATACAGCAGCATGAAACAAACAAAACAAAAAGACAGTGGGATGGGAATGGTAAGACAATGGAAAACACTTGGCTTAGGAACAAGGGATGAGAAAACATGGAAACCTCTCAAAACATCCATAGAAAGCTAAGAAAAAAAAAAAAAGATGGGAGAGAAAATAAAAGGGGGGCCGAGGAAGACAAGCGCTACACTCATCTTTAGGGCTGTGCTGCTGCCTAAATAAACTGCTACCAGGATTTTTGGAGGCTCAGTTCTTGTGTAAAAATAGATTTCCAACCCAGATATGAAGATAATGTGTGATAATACTGACTTTAACCCCTTAACACCTAGTGCTTTATATTAGATACATGAGTTTTTGTAAGCGTTTGAGGCTTCTATCATTAGTTTAAAATTTTCCCCTGACAATTCTAAATAAATTGTAAAATAAATGTCAAATTAATATTATGTTTTTGTCAAAAGGTCCAATAAACTCTCTCACTTCAAAATTTATAATTTTCTGGGAATAGTTTTGGCTTTAAAGGGTTAATCCATTTAAGGCACTGAAAGGGGTTTTCATACTGTTCCCCTGTTATCTCCTATTCTGCAGCTGAATATATTAAATTGAGCACATCACAATGTGCAACTGATGGCACTTATTCTCCAGCAGCATCATTTACGAGAGACAGAATAGCAACAAGACACCTTGACTTTAAATCAGCAAAAGCCACGATGGAAACATTTGTTTGTTCTTGAAAATTATTCCTTTACCTACATTACTCTGATGTTTTAGAATAAAAAAAAAAATCATGTATTTATTAAACTTTCAGTGGAGCTTAACACATTTTTGCTTAAATAACAGTCAATTTTTATTTTTTACTTTTTCTTCATTAAGGGGTTAATATGAGTGAATCTTTGACAGGTCCTTCAGGCATTTGCTGGCAAGCCTGTAAACGTCTGACATGTTTGCTGCAGGACCTTTAGCAGATGTGGCCGATGATGGTGTCAGAAACAATGAGGAGTGAGACCTCAAGTGAAGAACTTGCCATAAGCAGAATTAACAATGGGCTGGCTGCCTGGAGAGATGACAACGATTATGATGATGATGATGATTTGCACTGGATCACACTTCTCTGGACTTCAGAAAACCATTGAGAGCTTCTTTGAAATGGAGAAACCAAAAATATACAGTTCTTGATGTTTTACTGGCTATTTTTTTAACGTGTAGTTGTGTAAGCTAGTTAGTTACTGTATAATATGAGCAGTACTGTGTGTGGAGGTCAAAGTGGCTCGCTAGCACCAGTTGAATATTTAATAGCAGCTAACATGCTAACTGCTGTGTTTTCTCCGCTTACCAAAAGAATATCTTTTAATGATTATTTTAATCATTTTTACATCTTTTAATGGTCTCTGACATGTGATATTTTAACGGTTAGATGAGCTGTTGCTGTTGTGTATTTGTCAGGCTACATGATGATCAGCTAGTGTAGCTCTAGAAAAAACATGTAGGGACCTTTTGTGTGACTCGAGGCTTCAATGCTACTTTTACCTGGAAACAGCGATTCAATTATTTATCAAGTATTTCCATTTTTTAAGTTCACAGGCATCCTGTTTGTAAGGATACAGTCTCTTCAAGTTGGAAAATATTGCTCATTCAAATCAATCATTTATAGTGTTTTTCTCACACAGAGACACATCCGGGATGTAGCGAGAAAACCAATCACTGTTGTAGGCTATGACCACAATTTTACATTTTTACATTTTTAAAATGTATGTATTACATTTTCCTCTTTCACTATCCTTCTTGAATACTGCTTATTTAACAGTTTTAGTTTTTTAAAGAGTACCACTAAATAGATAAAGTTTGTGAAGTGCCTTTTTTAACCAGTCCCTCCCTGCCTATATAAAACATTTGTTTTTAAATGCTGCAATCCATTTAACAAGTTAACATCATACGGGTGTTAACAAAGGGTGTTTTCCCATATTATTCAATTGAATTTCAATGTATTTTGCACAGTGCAAGCTGTGGAAAATTTTATTTGGATTTCTTTTAAATTACCCAAAGTCACACACTACTAAAAAAAATTTCTTTCCTGTAAAAACTTTAGTTTGTACCCCTTAAAACACAATGAAATCCCATTTAATTCTAGGAGAATTACACTTTTGTGTAATTAAAAAATAATCTGTATTAATTTGTGTAACACAATTATAGAGGCTGTGCTTTTGTACACAGAAACAAAGGAAGCCTGTATTTTAATTTGCCCATTTGACATGTCGGTGCAAATTGACAATATTCCAATGTGAGCAAAAACATCAAGTCATGGGACTTATAAACATATACAGACAAAGGACAAAAGGTGTTAATTGACTGTTTAGGATAATAAACACCCTGTCCAGTAGTCAAAACCGCAAAACAAGGCAAAAAAATTTTGACTTTCTAAGCATATTTTCAGAAAAGCAAATTGTTTGTCTTTGCATCCACAACTGAGCTTATTTGTAACAAAAAAGAAGTTTTTCTACCATATTTATAGCACCTCCCCTTTCAACTGAGCCTCTGTGTTCTATGGCCCTGTCTCTATTTCACCAATATTTGCTTTATTGCTAGAGCTGATCATGATTAACAAATGATTTTAGATAACCCTTTTGAATATTAATCTGTCTGTGGGTCACATTTTATTCTGTGTTTTTTAGTGTTTGTGTTGGAGCTACAGTGTGTGATTGTTTTTGTAAAGACAATTCAGTCACTCTTACTCACCCCATCCAATCAGGATATACCACCAGAAGTATTTCCTCTGTGAGACGAAGGTCAGAGCCAGCAGTGTCTGCAGATACATGCCCTCCACCAGCAGCCAGAAGTAATTGGCCAGGATGCTGAACTGGAAGAAAGCCACGGCTGACTTGCACGCTTTCTATAGAGAGGAAACAACAAAACAAAGTTAGAAAAACTGGATGTGTCATCATTTAACATAATAATACATCTTTTTGTGTAATAAAAGGGAAGGTAGTGACAAAAAAATATTTGATTCTTCTTCTACTTTTGCTATAACTTCAACTGAAGTCAATCAAGTACAAAGAAATACAAAATAAGCACCAAGGAACTCAAACCAATTAAAAAAAAGACAAAAATAAACTACCTAAATAGTCACAAAATCACAATTTGAGAAGACTTGCAAAAGAAATTAAAATTTATAAAACAATAAAAAAAAGGAACACAAAATTAGCAAAATCTAGAGATATAAACCAACAGGAAGATGTGCAGTACATAACCACAAAAACACACAAAAGTGTAAAACCAGCACCAAACAATAAGTGAACAAAGATAAACAAAAAAAACCCCACAAAGATACACAAGAGAATAAAAACCAAAGATGACAAAAAAGCAATAAAAAGCATGGACACCGAGACCAAAACATGTAATAAGGAACAAACACAAAGGCTGTTTTTTTAAAATCAATTCATGAAAAAAGAAACAAACCTTTTCTCCAAATCCAACACACACATGTGCAAAAAAAGCATATTCAGTACATTCTATATAAGGAGATCCTGATACAAAATATATACAGGACGGAAGTGTCTGTATTCCTGTTCACTCTATAACCTTCTGACTTCCAGCACATGAATGAATCATGCCACCTGCAGAAGTCGTCTAATGACACTGCAGTGGTTGGGTGTATTAGGGACAGGGCTGGAGTGGGAGGTGATGAAGAGCTATGTGTAGTACTTTGGCGGAAAACCACCTCCTTCTGAAATTCAGCCACTCAAAAGAGATAGTGGTTGATTTCCGGTGACTAAGCCAATTAGCATGATGGGTGACTGAAGCAGTGGACGGCTACAGGTAATAGGGTGTTCACATGAATGACAGATTGGATTCTATTTTTTGAGGAACCTCAGTTCCTCCAGTGTTTGAGGCAAAACGGCAAGACCAATTTTTAGCAGCAAGTGCTGCTGTCTGCTTGGAGGGGTGGCATCTGTGCCAGAGATGCCAGCAGGAACAACAAATTCATCAGTGGCCAGAATCTGGAGGCGTTTGAGTCACAGAGGGACAGGAGGGCATTGACAAACTATTGTCCATCATGGACACACCCACTCCATTTCACACTACAGAGCCAACAGAGTTCGTTCTCCCTCAGACCCCACTAACATAAAGACCACTTCAGGAAATCATTCCTACGGTTATACCTTCATCCATCTATCTATCTATCTATCTATCTATCTATCTATCTATCTATCTATCTATCTATCTATCTATCTATCTATCTATCTATCTATCTATCTATCTATCTATCTATCTATCTATCTATCTACTGTAGATTTAAACCTATATTTTCTCATTTTTCCAATATAAAAAAAAAATCTTAAATTGTTGCTAAAAGATTTCATCAGTCTAATGAGAGTATTTCCCTCTCATCGTTTTGCCACGTGTCTTCCCCTCCTCGTTCTCTGTTTCCACTGTTAACTCAATCACACAGCATGTGGGAATCTATTTTGATGCAAACATCAATTAGAGCCCTCACCGTGGACATGGAGCAGTGGTCCAGGGTCTCATCAGCAAACAGCACGGTGTCTTTAATGAAGACGGCACTGGCTCTCAGGATGAAGGAGGCGAACAGGTTGATGTGGATGTAGTTTCTGGTGCAGCGGAACTTCCTGCGTAACAATAGCGTAAAGCATACACTGCATGTAAATTAATATTTCATAAGGCGGAAGAAGAAGGTAAACAACTTCATGAATTTGCATGTGTAAGATGATTCATAATCCTCTGTACTACAAAGGCTCTTTGAGGCTTTATCATCTGAATATATGCATATTTTCCTAAAATTATAAGATGCTGTCCTAACCACACAAATCCTGAATGTGTCTGCATCATAGAAATTTCCCCTTTTATTGGCCTTTTGTGGGTGCAGATGGTGGTGTGTGCCGCTCTGGTCTAACCTGAAGGCTGCGAACACCACGATGGCTGTAATGAGGGAGATGAGTGACGTGGCGTAGCCTACGGTGTAAACCTGTCTGAAGGTATAAAGGTAACTCGTCTGGAGACAGGAAAACAGAGAAACCGTTAGTTTAGAAAAATATCAAAATAAAAGTCTGAAGCTGTGAGTCTGACTCAGATTGCTGCAACTTCAAGGGTTCTTTCTTTATAAGATTCATGAATGAATAATAATTTGTTTAAGCTTTAGATAGAAAAAGCAGTAATTATGCTGAAACACTGAAAAAGATGTATTTTTAACTGTGTGGTTATTTAAATATATAAACAATTTCAGGACCTGTAATTTCCCTTGAGTTGTTTACATTTATTCCTGGAACAAAGGTCCTCACAGCTAACTACAAATAGGTCTGACATAAAAAGGAAACAGCGATAGAGGAAGCAGAAACAATATGTTCATCCTTCATTGACTGGCATGATTACAACCACATGTCCGTATACCTCGGACTCAGGCTCGCTGTCATCGCTGAACGCGCAGGCCTCCTCATAGGGTGGATACATTTCCGACCAACCGTCAGCAGTACAGTTCCTGTAAACATACCCTAATGTGGGGAATCCAAAGAGAGAACGCAAGGAGACAGTTAATTTCAAGTGTTTCAATCGCACAAATATATGAATGTTGTTCTTTTATTATTTTTTGTGCCCTTCCTGACACAACCCCAAAAGGATTGGTGTTTCCTTCCAGGAATAAACCGGAGGTCTTTTTGTTTGCAAGGGGAATGTGCAAACCACTTGGAGCCACTTTTTCTGTCTCAAGAATGAAAGCGGCAATTTCAGTTCAGTTTATGGGTCGCATAACCACTGCATGGGAACCTGTAAATAACACCTTCAAATTGTTTCTTTCTTATAAAGACATATAACTACCTGCTGAAAATGTTCACATGTAATGCACCATGCATTTGCAAAACATGGTGATGAACACCCTGAGATCTCAACAATGTTCAGTCAGTCTCCTGACCATGAGCTTTCAACACGATGCTTGGGTGAAACTGCTAAATGCCCTCTTTCTCTATAATTTTGGCACTTTTCAAATCCCTCCAGTGGGACAGTCTGATGGGCTAGTTCTGACCTACAGGCTGTTTGTTTGACAGCCTGGGTTTAGAAGCTCAGTGAACCTTTTTGTTACACCAAGTGTCCTTTTCTGTCTTGGTTTTTAGTCTTTTCATACATTTTACAACACAACTGACTGACAATACGAGCTATTTTAAATCTACCTGAATTAAAATGTGTTATTCGCATCCCTTTTTGTTGTGAAATGCTGTTGAAATTACACTCTGGCTCCTTTGGTCGAGTTTAACTTTTAGGATTTTTGAAAAGTGAAGAAAAAGGTGTTGTATGAAACCTACTGAAACCTACTGAAACTCTGCAGGTATATTTTCCTTTTTAACTTCAGGGCTAATAACTGCTACACCATTATCATCTTTTAATTTCTTTTTCTCCATTATATTTGAAGCAAATCCTCTACTCAGTCTATTGAAGCTCACTTTGGTCTCTTCCAACCTCTTTTGGAAATATCTGGTCCTTTATTGTCTAAAGTCTCCACTGTGCTTTCTTCTGACAATATATCTGTTGTTCAGCACAAAGCAGCAGTTTACAGTGATTTTTGACTAATGATACCAAAAGCAACACTGTGAGATGGAACAGAAGTTGCTGGCTGGACAGTTAAACAATATGCAGAACCTCATCCATAATCTCAGGGCAGCCTATTTTCACACTGCAGCAGTTTTTTCACAAAAACATATCGAAGAGACGTACTTTAAGTAAATGATATGCTTCCCGGCAGCTGTGTAAAGGGGGAAAAAATACGAATATTTAGAAATTTGCAAAATGCTTGTGAAACCATGAGCTGATTAATTCCTTTGTAATTAAATATTGAATCATAATTGCTTTACAAATCAATCAAAGCAATTTTCCTGTAGACTCCTGGTGGAGCATAGGGCCACAACAACACCACGCCAACGGACTCTGTTCTGAGCCGTTTTCTTCAGCGGGGTCCACGTCATTCCGGCGGCCTTTACTTCACTCTCGAGAGATCTTCTCCACGTCTGTTTGGGTCTCCCCACTTTCCTTTTTCCTTGTGGGTTCCAGTCCAGTGCTTGCTTTGTGATGTTGTCGATTGGTTTTCGAAGTGTGTGGCCTATCCAGCCCCATTTTCTCTTCTTGATGTCTTGACCGACCGGGTTCTGGCTGGTTCTCTTACACAGGTCTGTGTTCGAGATCTTCTCAGGCCATCTGATGTTGAGGATGTGTCGAAAGCACTTGTTGATGAAAAGCTTACCCGGCTCGCTGAGGAGGCAGAAAAGACTGGCCTGAAGATCAACGTCAGAAAAACAGAGGTGTTGCGGCTGAACAACCGACAAGAACATCCACAGCAGCTACAGGGAAAACACTTGGTGGAAACTGACTGCTTCATCTACCTAGGAAGCATAGTCAACAGTGATGGTGGCGCAGATGAAGACAAATCAACAAAGCAAGGCTTGCATTCAACACCCTGCGACCCATCTGGAACTCCAAAGCCTTATCTCAGCACATCTTCAACACTAATGTGAAAGCAGTCCTCCTGTATGGGTCCGAGATGTGGCGGGTGACCAACACCACTACCAGCAAGATCCAGATTTTCATCAACAATTGCTTTACACGCCTTGTTTTAACCTACAAGCTTTAAGTCATCAGTCCGGTACACTTGCACCAGTATTTCTTCTCTGAGACTATTTCGGTCCATCGTGCTTTGAGTCAAAAAACGTTTTATTCTTTTATGTCCACTGACGTCTGTTTTTGGTTAAAGTTCATTTGGATACAGCGGGTGACAGGAGAAATTCATCTGGTATTTGTGGGACTGTGTATTTAAATATCTTTGCCAGAGATAGCGCATAGGTAATAGCAGAATTGCTGTTTAGCAGAACAAAGATGCATAAAAATAAATGACAGGAGGATTTTTTTCTTTGTTCGTTATTTCCTCTGAGCAAACAGAAACCGACTGGAGTCCAAATGCTGCAAACTGTGCAGCTGAAAGCAAAGCCTCTTGTTTGTTTGGGTGATCAGCAATTCAGATCATAATGAGCCGTTATTTCCATCAAGGTAAAGGAGGAAAGAGCATTACTCGTTAATTAATGTGGCTTTCCCTCCTCTAATGGTCCTGTAACAATACAACAGACCAATATTGCTGTCTGTGTGCGTCATTTTAAACGTTTACTTGTTGTCCTATAAGGACCAGTTTAATAGTCGCAAAACATGTAATTGTTTTAACCAAAGAAAAAGCTAATAAAAATCTTAATGTGGATATATGTGCATTATTTACACACGTATGTGTAAATATAAAAATTGCTAAATGCAAAAGCTCATTATTAAGAAAGAATTTATTTCTCATGGTGTCACAAGGACTTTCTTTGAGGAGACAGCAGCCGAAAAGGATGTCAAATTGTGATGAATGAACCCTGCAGACAAGATTTCAATCCACTTCTGCCAAAAACATCCTAGAGCATATTATATGTGTGTGTGTGTGTGTGTGCGTGCGTGCGTGCGTGCGTGCGTGTGTGTGTGCGCGCGCGCGTGTGTGTGTGTGTGTGTGTGTGTGTGTGTGTGTGTGTGTGTGTATTCTTGCCAACAAACATACATGAATACATGCTATGATTCTCCAGCATTGACTCCAGCCTGCTTTAGCTCTGCTGATTATCCAGCAGAGCTAAAGCTAATACTGGTGCGACAGCACAGCATCCAAGAATCGGATTTTTACATTATATTATTTTAACAATGCTGGTGATCAGATGATTTGGCTATGAGGATCTGTGCTTTTCTGTGTTCACTGAGGCTGGTGCAGGAACCAACCTTGATTGCTGGAGAAATGCTGGAAGACTTCAGAGCAGGACAAATTGACCACCTGCCCAACCTCAGCTCGCAGCCAGCACCCGATCTCATCCCATTCTGTTTTACATCCTGCAAACAGAGACAGAGGGAGAAGCAGCAGAAAGTTATTAATAACACTGTCACAATGCTGACAGTATAGACATTCAGGTGCTCAAGATTTAGTGCAAAATCCAGCTGCAAAGCTGAACATCTCTTTTGTCAAGCTTTAGTTAGAATAACTCTACTTCCACAAACCGCATCCTAAAAGTTTGTACTTATATTTTAAACTTCATAGGTAATTAGAACAGGTTAAATTCACTAAATTTATGCAAACATTTACAGCTTTACTTAGTGGCTTTCCCAATTGCAATTTTTACAAAATGTACAGTACTGTTCAAAAGTCTTAAGCTACCCCTCATATGTTTACAAATGGGAAATAGGTGCAGCCTTGCTTATTTTGCAAGGTGAAGATCCCAACAATCAGTCAGCCCCTTATGAACAAGCACAAGCGTCAATGGGAAGGAAAAACTCCCTTTTAACAGGAAGAAACCAGCAGAACCAGCCTCAGGGAGGGGCAGTTTTATCAAGTTTATAAAGTTTTATGAAAAAAGAAAAGTTTTAAGTCTAATCTTAAATGATATGTGGCTTGAGATTTGTTTAACTTAACTATTAAAACACGACTATTCTGAATGTTACTTGAGTATATTTTCAATGCTGGACTTTTAATTAATTAGCTTCAGCTGATTAGCTCTGCCAATCTGTCACACCAATCTGGAAAAATAGCAACGAATCACTATTCCATTCTCTCTCGTCTTCAGGGCTCAGACTGTGAAACAGGAAGCAAACTTTGTTTTGAGTCTGAAAACCTTCTCGTGTTTTCTGATAGTGTGTGTGAGTGTGTGTATGTTTGTGTGTTTAGTCCCCATTGCCGCATTTGATCACAAATACCTCCACAACTATTAAACTGACATTACAGTTTGTTTCAGACATTTTTGTGCCATTCAGGATGATTCGCAATTACTGTGATGATCCCCTCGCCATCAATCACAATCATTATGTTTCAAAGTTATTGTCATACGCACAGCAGAGAAACATGTTTCCCTGTACAATGAAATGTATGCTTTACTGTCAACAACAGATGTCAAACAGAACAATCCACATATAAAATAGATAAGTAAAAGAAATAATCATTTAAAAACATTTTTTTGAGAAATACAGTAGAAATACTAGATATGTAAATAATATATTTACATTTGGAAAAAGAATCTGAGCTCCAATAAGCTATGTAGATATTACGCTATATGCTACATCAGTGTTTGTATTATCTCTGTTAAAGTACCAACATTATCTGGTGTCTTTATGTGCACCATGAAGGAAAAATGAGATCTAATGCTTTTCAGTCGTCCGTCAACAGCCTCAGCATCTCGCATGTTTATGAAAGACTGAGTACATCTCAAAAAGCCCTGAACTCCAGCAATGCTATGAAGAGTTCCCTGCAGCGTGACATACATCCTGCTGTTTTATTTATGAAGAACGGAGCAGACGCATTTAAACCTCAGGCCTTCATGTGCAAACACAGTACATTCAGGTGACCTGATTGCCAAGTCACGTATTCACTCTCGTATAATTAAAATTGGGTATTTATATTAATCCTGACCTAATAAATCCAAAGTGATGCATAACACCAGCTGACAAGTCCCGTCCACAGTCTTGTAGCTGTGATTGGCCCACATTAAAAGCTTTCACTTTTTTTTCCATCAACTACATTCTATATAAACCGCGGATTACTCGCCGGTGTATAACGGACTAATTCATTTTTCACTGAGTTGACAGATTTGACAGGAGAAAGTGGATGATTGGATGGAGTAGCTTGTCTGATCAATTTTAATTGTGCTGATAAACGGAGCGTGTACTGCACCAAATATCTGCAGTAATCTCAGATAAATGTCAACAGCAGTGATGAATTAAAAAGGCAATGTAAGCAGATATTTTTCTTCATTTACCCCAAAGGCTGAGGTGAGATCAAAATAAATGTCAAATACATTTTAAGCAGGAAATCTCTTCTCTGAAAAAAAGGAAAAAAGTATCAAATCCTCAGGCACCATAAACTTCGAGGAACATAAAACAGTTTCGGAGGCTAGAGTGATTTCTGAGTAAAACATAAACACAGCCCGCCTGCATCTGAAAAGGAGATTACTGCTCTGCACTCGGCAGGATGTTGGTGAGGCAAATTTTGTCCTAGTGCTGCCATTCATTTGATTGTATTTGTGACCCTTTATGTAATAAATACTTTCTTAACTGGTGACTGAAAAAGGGAAAAGTATACCAGAGGCTGTATGTGAGAAAATAAGCAGTAAGTCACTTAAGATATAATTTTTTATTGCCAAATCTCCAAGTTGCTCTACTTTCTCAAATCTGGTGACTCATTTCAGTGAGCTTGTTCAGTTTGGGGTTTCATGTTCTTTCCTAGAATTGCACTTTATGATAACCTAGATATATAAAAAGTAATATAGCACATGATGTAGGTCCGATGGCCTTAAGATACCATTTGAGGCGCAGACGGATTGACCTTATGTCCACTTGTGAGTGGGTTCTTCAAAGTAATACCTTTTCAGGACAAACTAAGTCAGGAAAAGATGACAGCTATGGATGCATGTTTTCCATCTACTATACATATCTGTTATTAGGAAAATGGCAGAAACTTAACATTTTCCAAACAAAAAACTGTGCGGTGCAGAAGACACAACGATGATATGTTTGTATTTGTCAAGCACAGAAAAACCCTGAATGAAAATCTGAAGTTCAGCTTGGATTATTACCTACAGGCCATTAACTTTTTGGATGGATTTCAGAGGACAACGAAGGATGCCTGCAAACCTAAATCATCAGAAATAGGACTATCCGAAACCCCATGTAACATGCAGACAGTTTTCATTACCTTCTCATTGAGAAAATCTCCTTTAGGATGTGAGACTGAGACATTCTGATCAGGACTCCAGAATCCAGTCTATGAGCAGCATTTCGCACAGATATAAATCTCAGGTGTTCACACTGGCTCATAACAAAGTTTTATAACTCGAGAGAAGCAAATTGATCAGCTCTAAACCAAAGCAAGAGCAAGCTCATAGACCTTACTTTGCCGCATGCTACAGCATCAAAAAGATTAGAAAGAAAAAAAGGGAAACTGCTGAGAGTAATAATACTTTATGAGAGATTTTTACTGAACTCCCAGGAATCCGCTTCAGACGCACGGCAACAATCAAGGACAAACTAGTCTGGGGGCCTCTTTCTGCTCCAAACCAGAAAATTGGAAGTTGTTGTTGTGGTAATTGCAATTAATGTGAGAACCTGATGAAAACTGACAATTTTAAAGATGTGTTTATTATTAAAATCTGCCCTAGCACCAGTTTACAAACTGCTGATTAGTTTATTCTTAGTTTGTTCCCAGAGTCTCTCAGTTCTCCCTGGATGACTCCATCAGGGTTTGTTTTGTGCCTGTTTGTTTTTGTTAGTGTCCATGGGCGGGACCCATTTAAAAACACGGTAAAAAACAAAAAGATGATCCAAAATCAGGTCATTTAAAAAGGTAAAATAAGACTCTAGTCTAGTAGTTTATGTCATGGTCCGTGGGAGCAGTATCTGGGGAGTGTTCGTGTTGCCTCAGTGGCCACGCCCTCGGGTTGGACCATCAGCATCACACCTGTATTCCATCCCAGGCAGCAGGGCTATTTCACCCAGCGCGGACGGCTGATCCACCCCAGTCCGTTAGTCACTCTTGGTAATAACTTGGGTCTCCTAAGCTCTGAGTTTTTCAGGCATTTTGTTACCTGTGTTAATATTACGCCCTCCTGCCTGTTCTGCGTGCAAGAGAACTCCCTCGGTCTCCGTCTTTCCCTGCTAGGATTTTCCCACGGACACTCTCCCCTCCGAGCCCCACGGTCTGACTCTGATTATAAGCCGCAGCATTCTAATTCTTCTTTAGTTTTGACTCTCCGTTCTCCTGCACCCAAGTAATTGTTTCCCCTTTCTGTTGCATCTTCCCACGATCCCGATCACGGCTTCCCAGGGCATTTCAGTTCCCGGTTTCCTCAGCTTGAGTTATATTCTCGTTCCCTTGGTTGTTCCTGGACATTTATGTTAAAGAAATAAATCTGTACATAGTTCCCGTGAATTTTGTATTGAGTTTGCCTTTGGGTCCCATCTGTGAGTGTAAACCTTGGTTCCTGACAGTTTAATCCATTTAAAATATTTCTCTAGCTGGGCCCGCGTCCCCATTTTAGCATTTTTTAGTAGATAAAGGCGAATGGCTTAAACATGAATTGAGCTGCAGTTCGGGGAAGTCCTCTGAGGGGACTTGCGGCAGCTCCCGGGCCTGGCAGATCCCCATGTACTAATGAGAAGTGAAAGAACTGAAAAACGGAGGGTGGGGCATGAAAACGAGAACGAACAGCTTGTAGAACTGAGTGGTCATATATAGATGAGAACCGGAAGGGGCGTGTTCAGAGGCGTGGTCACACTCCTGAAATTCAGATAATTTATCTCCAAGTAAACTTTTCCTTATTTTTCCCACCTTTGTGATTTCAGGTAACAAGCAGGCAGAAACAGTAAGGCAGCCTGTGGGATTACATCAGAGAACAGTTGAGAAAAAAGAAACCAGTGTATGATAGAAAGCTACTGAATTATGTAAAAGTGACAAAGGGCAGCAAAGATGTATGTAGAGAAACCGATGAAGCTAATGAGATTTCTACACGTACAGAAACAATCGCTTGTTTCTAAAGGTTATTATGTATCAATAGAAACATATTTTTACCTATTACAAGAGCAGAACTGAAAATTATTATGCTCATTAAAGAAGCATTACAAATTATCCTGTTGACTAGACTATCAACATCCTTTTTCTCCCTCCTGCCTTATCTCCCCCCCTTCTTCCTCCCTGTCCTCCTCCATATGTCCCTTCATCCCTCACTCCCTCCATCTTCTTCTTTATCTACTCATTGTGTTCTTAATGTTAACGTTGCTCATTTTTAAAAGAATTGTGTATATTTATTGCATTTTGCTTGATGGTTGTGTGATTTCTGCTGACTGTACAA